GCTGGTTTTAGCACCATTGCTATTGGCTTGTGCTGGCTGCAGGGGGGTAGCAGAGCTGTCTCCACCCCAAATCACTGCATTCTGTCATATTTTAAGCACATAAACCTAGCATTAAGAGCAAGATCAAAAACCTGTCAGAAAGAATGGAGACATTTCTACTGAATTTCAATTGAAGATCTAATCTGCACTTTTTTCTCTGCATTCATACTTCAAAATTTAGTGAATTCTAATTAATAGTGGGAATGGCAGTCTAGTAGGCAATTCAATTTGCTGAAGTACAGCCAGAAACCTAAGTGTACAAGAAACATAACTAGAATAAATAGGCAAAATGTTTGTATACAAATAGTGGGAACATAGGTAAGTTCAGAAATAAAATGTGTGTAGAAAATAGGTAAGAAAATGGAAAAACTTTACCTATAAGTGCAAGATGTTTACATAGAGAATCTAGATGTAACAAAAAACAATCAGAAACAATAACTGGAGTCAACTGAATAGTATAGGTTCTTCAGAAGGAGATAAATAGAGGGTAGCATTGCCTGAAACTGTTAAGATAATTTGTGATGAAACTAGTTATGTCAATAAAACAAATTCTGTTTGGATCAAGCACTTCAAGCATGAAAAAGGTAGGATTTTTTTTTTTTCAGAATTAATGCTTGTGGAAAATCCCCAGGGTGTCAGATTTAATTCTGCAATATTATTGTAGAGATGAATGTAAAACAGAATCCGTCATTAAAAGATGTTGAAGCTCAGAAATTTCTTCACCAGTTACTAATCCAACTAAAGATAATGACAGTACAGATCTGGTTTTTGCTTTGAAATACATAGGTAACAAAATGGAACCTCTAATCAAACATTCAGACACTGAGTCAATTAACATTTCATGACAATAAGTAATGATCGGCAGACTTTAATCAGCAAAACCAGCTAGTTAAATATATGAAATATTATGGGAGTTTGTGGTTGTTCTGTGAAGAAGACATCAAATTTCATCAAGTGTAACATACTGTGTTGTATCTGACAACAGAGGAGTAGGTTCAGACATCCAGGAAGTCCCCTCCAGACCCATTTTCCTAAATTTTTCAGTTAAATGCAAGAGCCTTAACTAAATCAGAGGCAACTTTAGGACAGTTTGACAAATTTGCTTGCTGTCAGTATTCTTTAAGATTTTTCAACTCAGTGCTGAATTTAGACATTGAAGAATCTGTTTTTGTGGCAGTGTAGATTTTTGAGAGGTAGGCCATGGTATCTGTTGTCTACTGGGTGTCTATCAAACCTGCCAGTTCATCTAGAGAGTCTGATTCAGATGCCTTCCCCCAGATCAGATCAGCCCTTCTGGGCTCCCTCATCCCTGAACAGTCTCAAGTAAGATGAGGTTGGTGTGGCATGTGTACAGGCTAATGAGGAAGATCACACTGGAGAGCACCTGACAGAGAGGATGCTCGCCCTGGAGAAGAGAAGGCTCAGGGGGATTTTATCAATCTACATAAATACCTGTACAAAGAAGATGAGGCCAAGTTATTTCCAGTGGCAGAAAAGAGGCAATGGGCAAACACTCAAACACAGAAGGTTCCCTTTGTACATCAGAAAACACTTTCCTGCTGGGAGAGTGACTGAGCACTGACACAGGTTGCCCAGAGAACATGTGACGTCTGCCCCCTTGGAGGTTTTCAAAAGCCACCTGGATGTGATCTGGGCAACTGGTTCTAAAGGATTCTGATTGAGCAGGGTTTGGATAGTGTGACTACTAGAGATCCCTGCCTAGCTCAGTCATTCTGTAATCAAGCTCCAGTCATTTTAGCAAATTTAATTCTAAAAGTCAGGCAAAGTTTGATGCTTAATATAAATGTTCTGCATAACTTCAAAGATACCCACTCACTGTGAAACTGTGATTTCTGGAGGCAGACTATGGCTTGCTCAGAAAATGAGACAGGAGTTATAAAGTGGATCACTATTATGCTTGTCCATATGCACCCATTATTATTAGAAGCAGCAGAAGAGAACAGGCAGAAAAGATGCTACAGGAACCTTTTAGGGAGGTTTCCTAAAGAAGAGAGGTTTTGAACTTTGCATTAGCATGGCACTGGCTCTGTAATGCTCTTAACTTATCTCTCTCTTCCTACCAAATGCTGAGTACTTCTCTCTGTGTCAGCAATGAGGAACTCTTAGCCTGGAAAAATGAGTTAGGTTTGGAGAAAGTACAGTTGAGAGATTAATCTGAAGGATTTCTGAAATTAACCCCTTTTTTACTCCTTCCTCTTTCATGATCTGAAACTGTTTCTCCCTGCTGCAGCCCCACTCTAACTCCTTTCCTGGAGCTGAATTTAGTAACTCATGCCCTTGTGTTTATCACACTTAACCTGTGGCTGTACATTCTCCATGTGGCAGTACAGCAGGTGGGTCCCAAACAGCCCCACTGTGACTGAGTTACAGCTTCAGTGTCTGCCCAGGTGTGTTATTCATGTTATACCTCAGAAACAACAAAGAGTTTTAAGGATATTGATTCAGGAAATGCTGAAGGATTTTCTGCTGGCCTGTGAGGGATAATGTAAGGTTGTTATTTGAAGAAGTTCTTACCCAAGGTCTTCTAGTGCTCAGTTTTGCCTGTTTAGTGACTGGGGAAGGGGACTATTTGGCATGTCTGTTTCCTGACTACACTCCTTTTGCAAAAGCTAATTTCTTTCCACTACAAATCTATATAATGTCAACTAGTTTATGTAATTCTCTGATATACCAAAACCATATTGATTTAAGTTTTATACCATAGCTAATCCTGTCCAAATACTTAAAGTGAGGGGCTGAAAACAAGCAATGATTTACTCACCCAACAGAAAAATTGCATTTTTCATTTTGCACTCTGCTAATGTATTGTAAGAGATCATGAACAAACAGATTGGTCTCCTCCCACCACATAGCTGCATTGCCAGCACTCAGGGAAATAAAGGCTGCATGGATTAAAAAGTCGCAAGGTTACTATTAAGGCATAGCTACTGAAACAAGAGCATGCACTGAAGAGCTCTCAGTTCAACAGAAGCAGCCCTGTTGTGAGCAATGTCAGCCTCACTGCTAACGTGGGAGCCAGGGATGAGAATGCAGGTAAGATCTTTCTATAGCAGGGCATGATCAAATCATGATGAATTGCAGCCATTGCCACAGTAATTTGTACGATGCTTATTTTCTTTTAAATACTGACTTTTGACAACTGCTTTATTTTCAGCTGCTTGAGACAAAAGCATTGGAGTTTTTTCAGCACTGCCTATGAAGTGACATTACTGTTTGTGCTTGTTTTGGAATCTATTTATGGTGCACATTTAAGAAAGCATTTGCAGCTCCTAAGGTTTATGTGTGTAATACTCACAATCATTTAAACAAACTACCTTAGCATTTTTTCCTTAGGCAGCCTCTGAAGAAATCTTCCTCTGAATCACAGTTTGTGCATATGCAATTAATTACTGTCAGGCTGTTACACAGACTGATCATGTGGGAATTGACCATTTCATTTTCACATAGAAGCAGCCTTTGCCTTTTGCTCTCACTTAGAAACAGCCCTTGCATTGGCATCTCGATGATGCTCTTATCCTCTGTTTGCTGGATTAGATATTTTGATTGAAGTACTTAAAGACATAATTTCATAAATACACTTGAAGCAATTCCACCCAAACCATCTCATTCTCCCTAAGTCATTCTCATTCTCATTTTCTTTCTGAGTTTTCAAATACCTTCAAAAAGCTTTGTGTTGTGATTTGTAAATTTTTGAATTGTGTACCTTGTAGACATCTCATAGTATCCTGGTGATTAATAATAGGATAATAGGACAGTCTTCACTTAGAAAAATACTTTAACTTCTAGAGTTCTCCAACCAAATATCCTTTTCTTTCTCTATAAAGATGTAAACTTTTTTATGAAAGTGAAAACTGACTGTGGGTCATCAAACTATTCTGAATATTGTTTGCACTAATAACTCATTTTTATTTTAATATGCCCCTTAACAGTACGTTAAAAAAAATATTTTGGGCTATAGACAGTTCGTAAAAAAAAAAAAAAAATATTTTGGGCTATAAATATATAGATCTATTCTATCACCAAGAAGAATCCTGAACTTATTTCTGAGCATCTGAGTAACAGTAGATGGCTGGTGCATAGGCAATATGGGACCCTATAAATAGCCCGTTGATTTAAAGAATTCTGCTTCCATATGCTCAGACTGGTAGGTCTGCTATACATGAGACAAGATTTGAAGGTAAAGGTAGTATCTTTGGGTTTATTTGACCAGCTGCTTAGGTGAAAATATTAAACTGATTTTCATATATTTGCCTAGATTTTTCTAATGTAAAGCTATTGAACCTACCAAAAAAATTTGTTGTGTCATTGTCCTTGAGCCTTTTGGCCACAACAAAATGCTGTGAAACATCTCTATATTATGTAAGCTAGATAGTTCATGCCTAGAATAGGAAATGACAGTAGCAGTTCTGAAGGGCTGATGGCAAGTAATCACATTTAACAGAAAAGTGTCAATATCATGATCAATGCAAAAACTGTTTCCTTATGCACATGCATACACAGTCTTGAATTCATTGATTCTTAAGTCCAAAAATACTTACTTTTTTTTTCTTCTACTCTTCACCAAATGTTGGTATTTCCTGACAACACAGTCTCCAAATAATCATTCATTTTACATTATTAAAAAAGCAATCTATAGAGACTGCACTGAAAGGAGTTGGAAAAATAGGGAGGAAATGTCAAGAAAAAGTGAATGTCTGGATCCATCTAAATTTTCCATCTGTGAGCTTGCACAGAATATAACTGGTATTGTCATTGTGTCTTTGTATTACATTTGCTGCCAGACAAACTTTACTTTTTTGTCTCTCCTATATGAGTCAGTATGTTGATTGAATTTACCATATTTTTTTTAGTAGACTTCTATCTCATTTAAAAAAAAATGCTCTGCATATACAGCAATTGAAGTTGTCTCATGTTGTCACTGTTTGTTCTTCTCGTTCTAGGTGATGTGATTGTCTATATTAATGAAGTTTGTGTCCTTGGACATACTCACGCAGATGTAGTCAAACTCTTCCAGTCTGTTCCTATTGGTCAGAGTGTCAACTTGGTGCTATGTCGTGGATACCCTTTGCCCTTTGATCCTGAAGATCCTGCCAACAGCATGGTGCCACCCCTTGCAGTAATGGAGAGGCCTCCGGTAGTGGTAAATGGAAGACATAACTATGAAACTTATTTGGAATACATTTCTAGGACTTCTCAGTCTGTTCCAGACGTAACAGATCGACCACCACACTCCTTGCACTCCATTCCAGCAGATAGTCAGCTTGATAGCACATTCCCACCACCTGCCCATGATGATAATGTATCAATGGCTTCTTCTGGGGCCACCCAAGCTGAACTCATGACCTTAACCATTGTGAAAGGGGCCCAGGGCTTTGGCTTCACTATAGCAGACAGTCCTACAGGACAGAGGGTGAAGCAAATTCTAGACATTCAGGGATGTCCTGGTTTGTGTGAAGGTGACCTCATTGTTGAGATCAACCAGCAGAATGTACAGAACCTGAGCCATGCAGAAGTAGTGGATATACTTAAAGAATGTCCTGTTGGAAGTGAAACTTCTTTGATTATCCATAGAGGAGGTAAGTTTGGAAAGTCTGTACAATTACAAAAATGTGTGTAAAAGGTTCTAAACCATAAGACATACATATACTCACTACATCCTTGTTTGCTAGATTGGAAATTAATTTCCATGTTGTGGGAAGTAACACCATTGGTTCTGGAAAAGTGTGTCTGTAATTAAGTATCCTAGGCAAAATCTTACAGTTTGTTGTACATTCCTTTATGTGTTTTGAGTGTCAATGGTCCCATCTCTGTATAAGGGTAAAGCTAGGCCAGTTCCAAACCTTTGACCCCATAGTAGCTTGTGTGGTTTCTGCAGCAAACTCATGTAGTCCCAAAGCAGTGCTGCAAGCTTTAGGTATAGTTCTATGTATTGACTCATTAATGTAGATCAAAATCAGAGCAATTTATTTGCCCTTTACAAGGTTGCTGGTTTTCCTAAGCCGTTTTGCCTCCTTTTCATTCATTGTAAAATTTTGTACAACACTTGTTGGGGTTATTTTCTTTCCTGATAACAGAGATCCATGGTATATATTTCTCTGATTTAAAAAAAAAATAGCTTTTAGCAACTTGTTTTTTCTCACCAGCCTGACACAGTAAGTTTGAATGTTCACCATTGGAAGGGGAGAGTCAAGACATCCATAAAGAAGCAATAAGAACAGAAAAAGAGTTAAAAACTTGCCAGGGATTTCATAGCTTTTATTATTTTAGCCAAACAAAATTTCTTTGGTGGTTTGAGGTGAGCATCCGTCCTAACTTATTATTACCTGAAGTAAATAATGATTGAATTTTTTAAATTAAAAATCTTTTTTTTTTCCTCTAAAGGCATTCATATGCCACTTGATATACATTAATCTGTGCTTCAAAAGAAAAAGAAAAGGATTCTATGCACAAAGATGCAAAAATACTAACTACTTTCCTTCTGAAGAATAGAAATTGGGAAGTGAAGCTTCAGTGTTTGCATATGCCAAATGTTTATCATTACAATACCTAAAAATCCTTAGAAATAAGGAATATGGTAACATTATATCAAATTGCAGAAGTAACAAAAGGTGATTATCAGAGATCTATAGTCACATGGTCAATAACAGCACATAGTCAATAAAGTGTTTTTCACGTATATATGTAAAAGAATGATTTACAAGAAACAGAATCTGATATTTCTTTGGAATGAAATCAAATTAGGATGATAATTAAATTGGATTCACTACAGTATATGGATTTGAAGAAAGTTAATGGTTGTATTCATTGGTATTAAATCTGGTTCTCCTTAATGGTCATTAAGAATCTTGAACAATGGAGTAAGCAATTTTTTTTATTAAGTTGACAAATTAGGGAGCATTTCATAGCCATAAAAAAGCATCAAGAGGATTAGAAGGGTTAATGTAACCCCAAAAAGGTGGAAATTTATTTTGAAAAAGGCAGGATAATCACCCTCTAGAGGAAAACAATTTAGAACACCAGTCTTCAGAGAGAAGTGGAGTGTGAAATCCAGCATGATGAACAAGCCTGAGTAATAACAGACAACAAAATAGATATTTCAGCAATCAGTGCAGAGCAGTAGCAAAAAAACCTGAAGCAGCAACGTACTCAAGCCCTAGAGGATAATTGCTCTCTCTGAGGAGAATTTCTTCTTAGATCATTGATTCATGATCAAAACATGATAGTTTAACATTGATCAGCATCATAGTTTAACAAGTTCTGGTGCATTAACTGAGCTGTGGCTATTTTCTGTACATGACTGTGGCAGGTAGGAGATACTGCAGTGAGCTCAATGCTCAGTAAAAGCGCTGTGAGTTTACAACATCTGCTCTGTCTCAGACCAAGCACTGAGGTACAGGTGGTTCCCCTGCCTCAGTGACACAACATACTAGGTCCAAACACAGTAACATTTAACCCTCTGCTGCTGGGACAGGAAGTGGTTGGTTGCCTTACAGAAGGCAAGGTAGAGAAAAGAGCGTGTTTTGTTCATGGGAGAGCAATTACCAAGACTAAAGTAAATGTTTGGAAATCCTACAGTGTCATTAAACTTAATGGGATGGTACAGAACAAATGCAAGTTTGCTATCATAAATTTTTGTACATCAGAAATAATGACTATAACTCAAGATTGTGAGACTATGAAATTAAATTTTTTTTAAAAGCTCACTTTTTTGAATGATTCAAAAGAACTGGAAAGAATAGTGTATGAACCAAACCTACTCTACCTAAGAGATGGCTAAATCATATCTCAACACAAATATGAGAACTGTTTTAAGATGGAAGCCAGAGTTTTGGTTTTTTTGTTGGGTTTTTTTTATCTATTCATAGGAAAAGGGAATCTATGTGACTAACTACAGACCTAGAATGCAGTTATTATGTCTATGTTAGTAATCATGTCTTCTTTTACAGTCCCTGGGCAGAAATGGACTTTTCTATGATATAATTAATGTCATTCCACTGTAGATGTTTCAAATAAGTCAGGTATATCTAAGTATACCTTCAAACTACATTGGCTGCTTGACTGATTATAAAGGGAGTAGAGGATGGCTGATTCAGGTGTGTGTCTATCCAACATGTTATGAATAATAAACAGGTGATAAGATTTAGTCATGTGAGATAATCTAAATACAAAACCAAATACTTAGAGAAACTTTCTTTGACTCAAATATTTAGTCAGTGAGATCAGTAAAGCAAGGCATACTTTCTCATTTCTCATGGATTCAAGTTTTATTTTATTATCTTTGATGTGTAATGACATTTGAATTATGCCATCCTTTTCCATCATTACCCTATGCATCCTGTCTTTAATGTCTCATTTTTAAGATTAAGACCAAAGGGCTGCTCCTGCCTGTGGAGGAAGGCTGTGTTTTGCATAGGGTTGTGTGTTGCCTTGTAATGTTTCTTTCTCTGATATGAATATGGCCTGACTGCACACCTAATTGTGGCAAATCCATTTCTGTAAGTGACTTAACTTCTCTCTCATCCAGCAATCTTATCTCCATTGCAGACAAGAAACAGATTGAAATTGACTGAGATTTATTCTCACTATAGGAAGTAGTATCTCACACTGGATGCATGCAGTATGCATGCTACAGCATTTTAAAAACCGTTGTCCCGCAAGCTTTAAAGGTCAACAGCCAGAGTGTGCAGGAGAAGAAAAGGTCTGCATGTTTCAAAGCAGAACTCAAATTTGAAGAGGCCACTAAAATCTCTCTCACCATCACCAGACAAAGACTTGTCATAGGGTACAGTCCAGCTGGAGCAAGTCCCACTTTCTAAAGCAGAAGTAGCAATGTATTTGCTCGTTAAAAAACAAAATAGTGATGGAAATAGTATAATTGTCTATCAAAGGAAAGAATCTCTCTAGCATTGGCTGGACCTCTTACTGTCTTTTTCTTGTTTATTGGACAAGTTCTTTGCTAAGTAGATGCACCATAATGGTTCAGTCTCTTTACATCTGTTTTTGCTGAACAGCGATATTGTTTCCATTGATTACTATGAGCTGACAGATGTGTTTGTACTGAAAAACAAAAATGCAAAAGTTAGTGGAAAAGTGTTACCAAAAAAAAAAAAAGGAAAAAAGGGAAAAAAATTAATATAAAAGAAAGGAAATAATACCCAAAGAGATTTATGCCTTTCCAGCTTTGCTTCAGGCTTTACACTTTATCCTCAGCTTCTGCAGTAGATTTCTTTGAGTATAGGCTGCTGAAATAGTGTGGGAGAGCTCTCAAAAATCAGTCCTTCTGAATGTAGAGAGAGCATAAATTTTGAATTAGTACAGTACTACTGAAAAACAGCACTTAGTGGTTAAAGTGGTATGTAGCAAATTTATGTAGAGCAAAATATTCAGTAATGAGGACTTCAAAAACTAGGTTTGGCATATTCTACTAATTGAACTGTCCAAGTATTTGACATGTGCCATGTCTTTTGGAAAGTACCTTTGAAATATATGGACCTATAGACAGCAGCCCAGCTTCAGAAGTGTTCCTGTCTAAAAAAGAACTGATAGATTCAAATCTAGATCCATCAAGTCTATGTCTGAAATACTGTTGTTAAGGAAACCTGCAGACAAGCCAGGACTGATTCATGAAGTTATGGCAGCTCACAGCAGGTGTTGAGAGTGAAACATTAAATGCAAAAAGTGGGAGGCTGACAAAATTCCTACATAAGATGGCTATTTTATAACTATGGAATCAGAAAATGGTAGAATCCAAAGTGGTTCTGAGAAAGTGAGAATGTTGGTATGAAACTGAGCCACGGAACTGACACACTGTTTAATTGTTAGCCCAGTCCTGGTGTGGGACTGGACTCTCAGCAGCCGGTGTCACCCTGGCATGGCATGGGAAATAGTGAGGGTCACATGCAATGCACAGTCAAGGTGAGGAGGGGGAATTTAACTACATGCTTGCCAATTGTGTGAATAAAAGGAAGATAAATTATCTTTCTCAGATACTGTATAAATGTTACTAGAAGAGTGTAACTCCTTAAAACCACTAACAAATACCAGTACATCACACACAGCATCAGCAATTTCAAAAACAGGCAGAAATTTCACCAAAAAATTATCTAAATATTCTAGTGAAAAACACTAACCCCTCAAAATAAGCAGACTTCAGTGGAAGGAACCCTCCATCCTCAGTACCTTTTTGCATGGACTTATTTCAAATTTGCCAGTTTTGCCTTTCTTCCATAGAGGTGAGGGGCTTCTGTTTGTTTTGTTGTTGTCTTTGTTTTGGTTTGGTTTTTGTTTGTTTTGGTTTTGGGTTTTTTTTTTTTTTTTTTTTTTTGTTGTTGTTGTTGTTGTTGTTGTTGTTGTTGTTGTTGTTGTTGTTGTTGTTGTTGTTGTTGTTGTTGTTGTTGTTGTTGTTGTTGTTGTTGTTGTTGTTGTTGTTTGTTTTTCCAGGATTGCTATGTGTTTCAATTCCTCTGACCCTCTGACCAGGAAAGCTCATGCTTCTTTATCTCCAGGTTGTTGCCTTTTGGGAAAGCTGCACAAGATAAAGCTGAGGCAGCATTAGTCTGGCCCAGGAAATTCTGAT